CATCAGAGTTTTAATATCCGGCGTTAACCACGGTGCAGGTTTATGTTTAATTCGAACTCGACGGACGGGGGCATGCTGATCAAACAAACTGATTACCTTATAATTAAAAGAATTGACCATGTCGTTAATGTTATGGTGTTCAAGAATACACGACCAGTCGGTATTATTTACATCCCGTCGCAACGCTCCCAGATCAATATCCTTGTAATTGCGAAGTAGGAGAAATTGTGAATTACGTTTAGGGGGTCGAACACGATAGGAGAGATAAATCAAGTCATGATAAGAAAAGGAAGCGGAGAGTTGACCATGAGTGATAACATTATCAGGAGAAGATACTATCAAGAGATCAAGTAAAGAAGGAGTACAATTTGGAGAAAAATGAGTAGCAGAAGATGGTAAGACCTGAAGGTTAAAAGAAGACAGTAAAGATAGAAGTTGACGAGATCGGTAGTTGTTTTTGATGAGGCAAGTGTTGAAGTCTCCCATAATGATTACATGATTGTAATTTGAGCAGAGCTCGAGCAAGACAGAATCAAGAGAATTGAAATAATCAATATTGAGGTTAGGGCTATAGAAAACACCAAGTAGGAGTTTAGAGTGAAATAGTGGAGATCTCAAGAAAAAGAAATTCAGCGGATTCGGAATAAGGAGAGGGTGACGCATTTATAACCTTAAATGGAATTTCAGCACGCAGGTAGATAGCCACGCCACCGCCCCCCTTCTCGGTTCGGTCATTTCTGATCAGTACGAATCCAGGGAGTGAAAAAAATGAAGAAGGAAGAGAGGGTTTTAAAAAAGATTCAGTAATAAGTATGACGTCAAGCGGAGAGTTGCTAAATGAGGACAGAAGGTCAGTATAATGACTAGGAACACTTTGAGCATTAATGTGGGCTATATTAAGATTATTGGAATAAGTAGAAAAACATTGGGCGATCCGATCATGTAGGGTCAGAACTGTGGTAGAGCTACTATTCACACTGACAAAACTATCAGATGAAGAGGTACACGAAAAGAAACTATCATTGAGATCAAGTAAATCATCAGTTTCATACATTGATATGTTAATAGATTTCAGACGTGCACAATTAAGACGTGTATGTGTATATGCAGAAGAACCAAAGTGGAACTTAAATTTAAAAAAAAACCAAATTAATCAATTACCCAGTGGATTACCTTACCAACTCGCTGGTTTAGTGACAGAGATTGAACAGAGAAAAATTAAAGACAACTTAAATTATATGGTTGCTAGACACAAAAGAAATTAGCATTTAAAAAAAAAAAAACCTTAAATTATAAAGTACATAGTAAAAGGACATGTTTTACAAAAAAAAAAAAAGTTTTATGACCACACAGCACCACACAGATTTTTTGAATCACAAAGTATGTTTTGTCAACTAACAGCAAGAACAAAATGCAAAAGACAGTTTAGTTGAAAGCAAAATGTCAATGTCAAGTCGATGTCAAATAATGTAAACATATTATTCAGAAAACAATTTCTCTCGACATTAACTAATATTTGATCCGTGATACATTAACCAACCAAACAGTAACTATACAATTACAATATAAATATAAGCATATAAAGAAAAATTAGAATACATGAAACATATTATTATCACCGACTACCGACAATTTAAAACACATGCATGTATGACAATTCTTATTTTTATTTTTAATAAAACTTTGTACGTAATAAAGTAGATACCTCCATAGTGTTTCAAACTACCATTGCACACTACATATTAATTTATTTTAAGATGTGCTGTGTGGAAGTCCAGCAAAGCATTTTAAAAAGCGCCGATATAGGTGCCTAAACGCGGCGCCGACTTGATTTGGTCACTTTTGGCTGAGATTTGGCAGTCTCGCGGTCATCATTGGTCCGTGGAGAATTATGGATGGCCGCAGCAGCAGGGTATCGGGATGTTAAGGCGTCCAGTTCAGACTTACACTCAATTTTATGACGAGTTTTGTCAGGTGTTAGAATGACAATTTTTCCTTCCACTGACCAGCAGTTACCGACGCTAAAATGTTGTCGGGCAGCAGTGAAGATCTTGTGTCTCGTTTTGGTGAGAAATTCAGAGACAGTGATTCCAGAGCCTTTCAGATTGGTTTTATTATCCCATACAACATTGCGATGCTCCATGCTGCAGAAACGCACTAGGACAGGTCTGACTTTGCCCTGAGAATTGCCGAGCCGATGACAATTGTTGATATGTTCTATGCAAATTTCAGGGAGTTTCATGTTTCTAGTGAAAACTTCAACAATAGATTTGTGCAATTTTTCATTTTTATTTTCAGGAATACCATGTAGAAGTAGAACTTTTCTTCTCATCATGGTCTCATGCCTATCCAACCCGAGGCTGAGAAGCTCAATCTGGGTCTTCATCTGAGAAAGTGTTTGCCACACAAAAGCTTTAAAATCATTAAACTCACGCGATAAAGTTGAAATATCGACATGTGCTGGAACAGCTCCGGTAGATGCCTTCTGCAGCTTCAGGTCATAGTCGTTCATACGTGTTTGGAAAAGCTTCTCGAGGCTTTCTAGACTATTTATAAGTTTCAGATCCATGATGTGTGCAAGTAAAGTTTACGGCCAAAACAAGTGTGTTTTATTGTTGCTAAAAGTTGTATAACACAAATCTCTTAAGGAAGTTGAACCTCAAGTAACGAGAAAGATGGTAGAAAAAAGTTTAATAAAAATTTTACATCTTTTACATTACCTTTACAATTAAAATTCATGATTAGAAATTATTTCATTGAAGATTAGATTCATTATTATATTCAAAAGTATGTTTTTAATTAATTGTAATTTCTTTCAATTTTATATACTATGAAACTGGTTGTTTATTCTTTAAATTGTTTATAGCTGTATATGAAATATAAATATGTACTTTGTTTCCCCAAAAATTAATCTAATAACTTAGACAGTCATTAGGTAATTACTTTTAAATGTCACACAGACTTCCAGCCTACCTTTAAAATTTGCGAATCCGACAATCTTGTCAAAATTTCCGGTAAAGCAAAGGATTATTTCTAAAACTCCACAATTCTTCGTAATCCGATACGAAGTAAATTGAAAACAAACATTACACGTACACATATTACATGTTAAGCTGCCAGAGGGTTCCAGCCAATCTTGTGCTCGGTATTTCCTATATCCTATAATACGTTCGACATACTGCACTCACAAAAGGCTTAAAGCCCTTTGAGAAGGATGCAGTTGAGTCACGTTGTCAGATGTTTTTTTTTTTGTGTGACTGGATGATAAACAAGGTTTTATATAATAAAATTGAGATTTAGACTTCGACCACATATCTCAAGTTGAGTGGTGCATTTACGTTGTAGATGTTTATGGGTTCCAATAACCACTTAACACCAGGTGGGCTGTGAGCTCGTCCACCCATCTAAGCAAAAATAAAAGTTTTCGGTGCAATAGAGACTTGAGGTTAATCGCTTGTGACAATCATATTAAAGTTGAATTTTATTTTTTAATGAGATATTTAGAAAAATGTGTCAATAGATAGAATCTGTACTTTGAAATATTGTGACAAACCGATAATTTGATCACCAACACAAAGTAAGCACAAATAGCAGACTAAATTTCTGAATTATGTTATATATTAACCAAATATTTAGTTTTTCCTTCGTTATAAATTATACCAAATCGCCTTAAGATATTTCATAATTATAGTTTCAAGACTATGTCTCTGTGTTTCAGTTCCATTGTTACCTTGAATGTAATTTGTGTGAACAATATTAATGCATAAGACAATTATATCAAACTGTATTTATAAATTAAAAAAAAATGCAAGAAATATTTGATTTTTAGTCATACAGGTAAATATTTCAGGTAAACTCACCAATTGATAATAAATTTAATTCATAATTACCAACGTGCAATCCACCGCAATGCATGAAATTATAGTGTAAAGGATATACTGGTTGTAATGCGTCTTTTTCAGCCTATGCTGATAGCAGTACAACCGATTTGCGTGTTTCTGTTGTGAAATAGTACTAAATAATAAACTTAGCGGATGTAACCATATCTTTTTGTGTTCGAACAAAATAAAAATGGATTATAAAGAACATGAAATGTTTGAGGAAACCAATGATACATAGACGACAATTATAAAAATATATACTTATCTTAAGAAATGTTTGGAGTGCATCAGGCAACATCTATGGATTTTTTTTATCTGGCATTGTTTTTTCAGTCGTTCATTATAACCAACCGTTCAATAATAGTTCACCAAATAGTTTAAATATTCAAACCACACATCTGGATTAGTATTATCACTTTTTACAATCCTTTCAATCCGCAATTTCGTATTAATCTTGTTTTCGTCTCTTTTTCAGTACAGAACTAAGCATCAAAAACAAACACCAAATTTCTTTCAAATATTTTAAGTCACTTGAAAAACTTAACGCGATCATCGCTATAATAATCATTATTAGGTATTCATTTAATTTTTCTAATTAATTTGCACTGATGTATTTTTTTAGGA